GAGTCCTCAAGACCCTTTGGGGTGTCTGCAAGGTAAAAACTATTTTCATAAGAATTCTAAGACATTGTTTTTGTTGTTGTTGTTGTTTTGGGTTTAGGGGGTTTTTGGTTTTTTGGTTTTTCACTCTCATTCTCTCCCTAGTGTACAGTGGAATTTCCCAGAAGCTACACGATGTCATCACTCTGATGGCTGATAATACAGGTAAACTTGTGTGTTTTAAAAGTTTCCCAGCTTTAGTTTCTAATATGGTAAATATGGAAAGACGAAGCCCCATATAAGCAAACTCTTCTGGGGTCCTCAATTTTTAAGACTTTGGTTTGGGGACTGAAATGTTTGAGAACTGCTGATATTCATCACTTGATACAGTTCCCCCGACAGCCCTGAGAGGTGGACATTGTCATTCTCAATTTGTGGATAAGAAAATCAAGTGTTAGACCTGGCAAGCTCTTGTCCCAGGTACACAGCTGGTAGGACACAGGGCCAGTCCAGATGAGTCCAAACCCCGTCCTCTCGAGCCTCCCAGTCTGTGTTCCAGCCTCATTTCATATCCTCAGATTGGCTCTTGCTCTTGCCCTGCGTGCTGTTGGCATGTGTGAGTCATCCTGCCATGTTTGTTTTGCTTGCCAGAGTATCCCTGGGTGCCAGCATGGTGTCTGGCACACAATAGGTGCTCAGTAAGTTATCTGGTGCATGAACAGAAGGGTTCTGCCAAGTAAGTACTTCGTGACTTCTTGTCATCAAGGGGCTAGAAGGTCCTGGCAGATGGAGGCTGTCTCTGGTGCCACCCAGCCTTCCTGTGCCCTCCTGAGCCCTCAAGTGGGCCACCTCCAACTGGAGTTTTTTGAGCAGCCTCGACCTTGTTTCCAATGAGAGTTGTGTGTTGATTGTCTTAAATGATATTCTCCTGCTGCCAGCCTGGGTTGGTACAGAATGGCTGTTTAATTTTTTTTAAGTTCCTTATTCATAGGATCATGGACAGGGGTAGGATGTTAGAACAGGAAGTACTCTTGAAACCCATCTAGTCTGAAAGGGGAATTGACTTCTTCAAAGCCCCTGGTTGGGTGATCTGAGCTTCCTACTCTCCGGGCACCGTTACAAGAGCTGTTTTACTCTCCCCGGCTGTTGACCCCCTCTGCTGGTCCATATGCCCTGTTCTGATGAGTCCTCAGGCCTGAAGGACTAGTTCCTGGCTTCCTAACTGGATCCAAGGTTGCCCATCTCATCCTCACCTAAGCGGAGTGGAGTGCAGAAATACTCAACCCTGACTGCACATTTCATGTGCCAGAATCCCTGGGCACTGCGTTTCCTAAAGCTCTCCAGGGTAGACTGCAATGTGCATTCAGGAAGGGCCTGTATGCAGAGTCCAAAGTCAAGATGGCCCCTTGGTATGCTGCAAGACCCTGGGCTAGCCGCTTCACTTCCCTGGGTCTCACCTTCCTCTTTTGAAGCTTGGGATAATAATCCCAGATCTGCACACCTCTTTGGGTTGTTGTGAAGATCACATGAGGTGAGGTAATGGGAAAGTGCTTTGCAAATTGTATAGCCATGACTGATAGTGCTAAACCCGAGGGCAGAATAAACTATTCCTTTTTTAAAAAATGTAAAACACTGCTCTAGTGGCTGCTTTTATATCCCATACTACACACCCAGTGCTTACTTCTAAATCAGTGGCCCTAGGTCATGGGTGTCATGTGATAGCTACCACCAGCAGATTCTGAGTCAGATCACTGGTGTCTGCTTTTTCAGCCATTCATCTAACTACACCACAGCCCTCCATGAGCTGAGCTAGGGACTGGGCTTAAAGGGATGGATTTCAGGAGACTGTCACAGAGACATGCTAAAGAGTTATGGCCATATAGAGAGACACATGACATGAGGGAGTGCTCCCAGAGTACACAGAGGAGGGGGCATAAATTCTGCCCAGGGCATGAAATCTGGGAGGGCTTCCTCCAGGTGGTGACCTTTAATGTGAGCACCAGAGATGGAGGGTTTCCAAACCATGATGCTAGAGTCGATTGTAACATACAGGGTTAGACAGTATTAAAGAACTGCAGAGGACCTCTTTATTATGGGGCATTGTGTGACCAAACATCTTCATTTATTGATGCTCGGAGACCTTGGTGGAACAATGACGGAGCAAGTGTTTCAGAATCCAGACAGGATTCCTTATCTTTCTGTGTGATTTTTCCTTGGGATGTTGGCAATCTATGGTGTAGGCATTAACCAATCTTTCCTAACCCCACAAGAATCTGCATGTATGTGATGATTTTTGCTTATTCAAAGCTCTAGTTGATTAGCTCATTTGACTTTACAAAACCATTGCAAGGCCAGGATATATGAGGAAATCTGAGCCAGAGGTGAAAACTTTGCCTTAGGCCACTTTGCTGTGTCTTATTAAGTGGGGAGAGGCCTTTACTGTGTTTTCTAGACATCCCCTGATCTCCTTGGAGCAGCAAGGAAGTAGAGGAGGTGGAGGAGGCTGAGGAAGGTGGAGGGTTCCCGTGTGTGTGTGTGTGTGTGTGTGTGTGTGTGTGTGTTTCCCGTCTCCCATCTAACTCCAGGAAGGCAAGGCAGCGCCAGCTGGGATGTCAGCGAGGTGGGACAGAGCTTGCTTTAGTCAGGTATCCCCTCTCCACCTGCCTCTTTTGAAGTTGGAATTCTCAGTCCTGAATAGCCTAGATGTCAGGGGAGGAAGGGACAATGGCTGCCATTGCTGCAGTCTGAGGCTCTGGCAGCCTCCAAGGGACCTACAGCAGTAGAAGCTTCTGCTGCTCCTGGGGCCAGCCCTGCACTTGGGGGTTACAGTTTGCAAAAGAACAGGATAGCCCAGGAAGAGTGGAGCAGAGGCAGTGAGTGGGGAGGCAGGCCTCACACTGACCCCCCTGTCCAGAGGCCTAATTTTCCTCACCATACTCCCACCCTAAAGATCAGCCCCGACATCACTTGAGTTTCCTCCATCCATGCTCCATGGTTCACTGTTTTGCCTGGTTCCTGCCACCAGTTCACGTTGCCTACAGCAAAATGCTATGAGTTGTCTTCTCCCTGAGTCCCTCTGTGAACATTAAGGATGGTTTCATTTTCCTGGATGACCCCCCTGCCATGCTACATGTGCAGCTAAGGTCGTATAGAAGAAAGTGGCACACTCACTGGCAGAAGAGTGGGAGATGTAGAGCAGTACCAGGAGCATCCCGCTCATCTCTGCCATCCCCCAAGTGCCGCAGCAGACACCATGGGCAGCTGAGGAAACAGAACATCCGATGACTCTGTCCTTTGCACGCACGTGCGCGAGCACACACACGGGGCATTTCCTCTCCTCCACAAAGTGGTGACTCCCCCTCAGCATCGTACGCCCTGCCTCTCTCCTTCCCATGAGCAAAGATCCCGAGATGTGGGAAACCGACCTGTCACATCCCTGGGGCTTGTTTCCATGCAGTAAACTGGAGGTGAGAACCAGCTGTCCAGCACCGATGTTCAGCTAGCAGTTTGTAAGATGGCCCAGGGAGAGAAGGCAGCCCACGACTGTCAGCCTTCTTCTCAATCTGGCCTGGACCCCTGGGTGTCCCAGAGAGTTAGGTCTCTGAAAAGGGTTGAGTTCTGACTGGTAAAATACAACCCTTGCCTTAACTCTGTAGCCATAAAATGCTGCTGAAAGAAAAGGCAGGGTTTTAGTAGAAGCCCACCCCAGGCTTGATGTCTGTGCCGTGATTTCACCCCTCCTACTCAACTCTGCTGGCTTAAAGAATGCCGGGATTTTTTGAACTAGTATCAGCCTGTACTTTTACATAGTAACAGCCCCAACTTTTAGCTCAGTTCATTCGCACACCACCTGAGGAGATAGACACTTTCATTATTCAAGTTTTACAGATTCAGAAATTGACACTCAGAGACATTGAGTAGCCAGCCCCAGGTCACACCACTACCAAGTTGTGGAGCTGGAATTTGAGCTCAGGTCTGTTTGAACACAAAGCCTGTGAGTGCTTCACCCCTTGCCATATCCCAGGCCTACACGCTTGCCTCAAACAAAGCACAATAGCCTAAGGAACCCATGTGTACAGTTTTTGGTCACCATGTTCTGCTCATGACACCAGATGTTTCTTGTCCTTGGGATGGTCCTCAGAGTTCTTCTGTGAACTGCTCCTGCTAAATGAGAAGTGAACTCACTCTGGCCTTGCACAGCAGAGCTCAACAGAGGAATTGCTTCTAACACCTTGGGAAAAATGTTCCATTGTGGCATCACAGTTACCATGGCATCACCAAGCAAATGTCTGGACATGGGGACTAAGGAGGAGCTAGGATGAAAGGCCTGCTTGTTCCCTAACCTTGGCAGGGCTGTTCTGGAAGCCAGACACTCTCCAGGTCTGGCTGAGAAGACATCCCTTTTGCTAGATCACAGACTCCTCTCCGATGGTGGCCACCACCATCTGTCTACCCCCCTCAGACCCACCCTTTGTCTACAGAAGTTTGTCAGACTGAGCTGAGGAAGCCCACCACTAGGGTGGGTTTGAGATTTCCAGTCCGTCAGCATTTTATACTCCCAGTGTGGTTTCTTTGAGGCTCAGCCCAGTTTTCTTCAGCCCCTTGGCTTGCAAGTTCAAGCTAAGCTTCCCAGGCGGGCTCTGCCATGCGCCAGATGGGATCTGTGCTCCAGCCGCTGCAAGCAGCTTTGGTTTCAGCACAAACGCCAGGCCTTGAGAAAAGCGTCGACAACATTATGGTAAGATGTAGCCCTGTGGAACCATAGAGGGCTCACGGGCTACTGGCACAGGTGCTGTAAAGATGCCTACTGAATGGGTAGATGAATGCAGGATGGCCAGATAGGAAGTGAGCCTGAATCAGAAAGGAGCTGCTATTTCCTTCCCCGTGGTTCCCCTGATGTCTGCATGCCTCGTCGTTCTCCATCACCTTCAACCCCATGCAGGGTCGGCTTCTGCTGGGGGAATGGGAAGGCAGTGGAAGAAGGGGGAGCCAATCCTTCAATGTGTTCCACATCACAGGTGTCAAAGAGCTTGCACGTACATCTTCTCATTCATGATCCACGATCATCCTGGCAGGATGAAGGAATTACCTGAGCTTTCCAGAGGAGATCATGGTGGCTCAGAGTGGGAAAGTCACTTCCCTAGGGTCACACAGCTAGCAAGTGGCAAGGACAGGACTCCACCCCAGATCCTTCCAACTCCAGGATGATGAACCATCTCCAAGTCTGCATTCTTCAGCCCAGCCCTTGTGTTGCCTTTATAAGGGCCAGAAGCAGCAATGGTGATGGGGCAAAGCCAAGGGCCGCTCATAAAAAGTGGGGATGCTGAGGTTGGCACACAAGACCCCAACTCTCTCCAGATTCCTTCTTAAATTCCCCCATGAAAAGAAGCCAGGTGCGGACCGTGGGGATTGTTTTGTCTCCTCACAGGAATGACCCAGCATATACCCCAATAAGGAAGGTTCAGAGTCCTGTAGGGGCCCAGCCGACCTTATGATCAGTGGGCCTCAAATGTTCACTCTTTGGACCACTTAATGCAGACCATCAACTTTACATAAATTTTTTAAAAATTCATCACAATTTTAAAAATAATGATATAATTCTTTAAGATTAATGATAACAAGAGTAATAATAGTTTATCTTTGAGAGGAAATTTGTCACCCCACTTCCCCTGGGTGATGGAGCCACAAAGGATTACTCAAAGCCCATCTCTTCTGAGCAGTGAGAGACCCCAAAGTGGTTAATCTCCCCTGGAACCATCAAGCAAGAGGCACCCCTTCCTTAGGAAATTAACCCCAAATTGGGGTTCTCTTCCTGCATTTATTCTCCAGACCAGGAAGTTACAGGAAGAGAACATAGGTGGGGTTATAGTTTAACAATATAGGCTGGTAACTTTCAGTGAAACAAGTCAGATGACAATCCCTTAGACAATTAAGTGATCCACCAACAAAAGCTTGATCTTAGCAAACATTCCTTCTCCCTCCAACAATTTTCAGTATCTTCACATATCAATCAGTAACCTGTCTGTCCTTGAGCCAGCAACCTTGCTGTGCCACAAATCTTTATCTTACAGCAGAGACTTTATAGCCTGAGGAAAATTTCCAGTCCTCCGCAAGGCCAATATTTGAAACTGCAAGGCTTTGGAAAACCAGGCCCTGTGAAGTACATTTGCTTTAAGAATCCTCTACAGAAATTCATTTGGTATTCAACACCAAGGGTTCCTTGCCCAGGATAGTGACAGCATGAAATGACTGTGCTTTCTCAACCTATAGACTTCAATGCTTACTCTTTATTTTCATGAAGTTAGAAAATCCTGTCAATTAAAGGACATGTGAAACCACAGCAAGTTCTGGAGGCTCTGTCAGATAGCTATGGGTATTCAGATTGAATGTGGACTCCAAAATCATGCTGAGATTTTCTCACAGATGCCTACTCTTGGGGTGCTCATGAGCCTGCCCATAACACTCAAAAACTGGGAAGCCAAACCTTTCTTCTGGGAAGTTGAGTATCTCATCGTGGGCGATAGTGATGGGGGGATTTCTAGTCCACTTGGTTGCTTTTCCCTCTGGAAGAGATTTCTTCATATTCTGTTGCGGTTTTGGAAAATGTTTTTTAAACATGCCAACACAGTTGGTCCCTGACTTATGAGATGGTTTAACTTATAAATTTTTAATTTTTTGGTGGTGCAAAAGTGATATACATTCAAAAGAAACCATTCAAATTTGGAATTTCATTTCAAAATTCTTTAAATTAACTCTACTATAAAACAGGACTGTGTTAGATCATTTTGTCAAGCTGTAGGCTAACGTTAAGTGTTCTGAGCATGTTTAAGGTGGACTAGGCTAAGCTATGATGTTCAGTAGGTTAGGCGTATTACATGCATTTTTGACTTACGATATTTTCAACTTACGATGGGTTTATCAGGACATAACCTCATCATAAGTGGAGGAGCATCTGTAACAACTTAACTACATTTCAAAATCTCCTCTGTTCTGAAATTGACAGAACAAAAAATAGTCACCTTCTGCCTTGCTTATGTACCACACATTTTCTAAGCATTGCTTCATATTCATCACTGGCTTGTTGAATTGTTAAGCAAAATATCTGCTAGTCCAAATATATCACAGTTAGTACTCCACTGCATGGTATGCCTTTGATATGGATGTAACATCCTATGGAGTCTTTTGAACGGGAATTTTGTCAACAGCTCATGCTGACTTCTCTTCAAGTTATTTTTCATTTATGTCAATGCTCATTTAAAGCTCCCGGTCATGGTATAACATATACTATGCAGAGCACACTCTGAATCAGTTTTTTGTCTTTAGTTATCTTCTCTGCTCAGCAAAAAAATTAAATTAAATTAAATTAAAATAATTATTTGGAAAGCATTATAATACCCTCATTATGGAAAAAAATACATAATTTATTTACCAAAGAGGTCACTGTGCTTGTTTGAAAATAATGAAAAAATGCTTTAATGATTTCATGCCATCATTTGGCAACTTTATTATTTTCAGAGATCTGTGTTGGATTTGCAGGTTTTTAGGGAAATAGATCATCCATAGAGTGTTTTTATCTTCCTAAAAGTGTTTAAAACAGAATATCATGTTTTTAAGTCCTAAAGGAAGAGCCTGTGTGCAAGAGTTTTTCAATTTTTTATCACAATGAAATGCATTTCATTAGTTACTGCCCCCCTGAAAGTTAAAATACTGAGTCCACAATTTTTGAATTGTTTGTCTTTTTTTTTTTTTTTTTTTTTTTGGCCGCTGGCCGGGTTGGGGATCTAAACCTTTGTTTTTGGTTTTATCAACCCCGCACTCCCCCGAGTGAGCCACAGGCCGGCCCTAAAGCTTTTTTTTTTTTTTTTTGGCCGCTGGCCGGGTTGGGGATCTAAACCTTTGTTTTTGGTTTTATCAACCCCGCACTCCCCCGAGTGAGCCACAGGCCGGCCCTAAAGCTTTTTTTTTTTTTTTTTTTTTTTTTTTTTTTTGGCAGCTGGCCAGTATGGGGATCTGAACCATTGATCTTGGTATTATCAGCACCACACTTTCCCAAGTGAGCCACTGGCCAAGCCAGCAGTCTTTGAGACTGGCTGATAATGAACGTTTGCACCACTTGTAGTTGTGTCTATCAATGTCAATTTTAGTCCAATGAAAACTTTAGATTTTAATTTAAAAGGAACATTTAATTATATATATCATTGAATTTACCATATGAGAGAAGAGCTAGAG